TAGACAGACTAGCCATCTGTTGAAAGACCTGAGAAGAGTGTATATTTGGCTTGGACAATTCTGTAGAATATCATGAAGCACAACCTGTTCTTAGATGTTGTTCTATTAGTTTCAAAATTTGAAACATTCTTAGAACAATAACAAAAATGTATAGATTTGAAACCAGAGGTGGTATTCAGCAGGTTCTGAACAGTTCTAGAGAACCGGTAGCGGAAATTTTGAGTAGTTCGGAGAACAGGTAAATACCACCTCTGACTGGGCCTGCTCCCATCTATTCTCTGCCTCCCGAGTCCCAACTGATCAGGAGAGAATGGGGATTTTGCAGTAACCTTCTCTTGGAGTGGGGAGAGAATGGAGATTTTACAATATCCTTCCCCTGAAGTGGAGAGGGAATGGAGATTTTACAGTATCCTTCCCTTGGAGTGTGGAGGGAATGAAGATTATACAGTATCCTTCCCCTGCCATGCCCACCAAGCCATGCCCACAGAACTGGTAATAGAAAAATTTGAATCCCACCACTCTTTGAAACATACTGGTGAATAGACATTTACAGTCTAGTTGGGGGGGGAGGCGTTGTGTGCAAAGGAGCTCTTAATCATGCAACTCCTTTTTGTAAACAGTAGAAGAATATTTCTCAAAAGGCTGTTTTTTTTCTTTTAATAAAAATAAAAACGAGCTGAAGAAACTGGGACACATGGGTGAAATTGTTTAAAGCATACTTGGCCAGAGTGTCTAGAATGTTTGAGCCAGCAAATCCTATACATTCAAAGAATGGATTGTTCTAAATTATCTGTGCCTTGCCTTAAAATTAAAATGACATAGTTTATTAAAAAAAGCTAACTCTTAAAATGCTTTGACTTTTAATACATTTCAGTGGAATGTAAAACTATTTCTGTCTATCAGTATTCAGTCAAGGCACTATTATCAGAATTCTAATGTCCCATACATAGTTTGAAAAATATAGAACACTCGGTCACATAAAATTCTATTTGAGTGACTTGTTAAGGAAAAGTCTTAAGAATTGCTACGCCGACCAATCTCTTTCATAATTGTCATACATTTAAAGCAATAAATTAACTTTGAAATATGCATAGACAAAGATTACATCTCAGATGCTGCCAAGTTTTTGTTTTTGTATTCCTTATATGTTCTTTGTAACGGCCAAGTTCACATCACTTAAAGTAACTTGTTTGAAGAAGCTTCTTGGATGAGAAGCAAAATGTTTTCAAAGAAAAAAAAACCCCAAGAAAGTCCAGTTGCCTTTCAGAAAAGCACTTTTAGGACGACCATGATCTGGATGACTGAGAATCTCCATACTGTCCATTGGTTTCTCAACCAGTTTTCATGGCTTAACTTACTATGTGATACTAGCCAACTGTAATTTAGTCAATAAACCATAATTAATAAAAACACTGCTTAATGCACTGTATGAACCAGCTAATGTTTTCCCATTTTAATCAAACGTAGTAGTGCACTGAAACTGAAAGTAAAGCTGTCTTATAGAAAGTAATACTGCTTTTTAATGCTTCTGGCTCTTAACTGTCATTACTGGCAAACAGTCAAATAAGAGGCATGTTTTTAAGATTCTGGATCAAACATGGAATTTTTTTCCCATACAAAGCATGTTCTTCGGCTCTTTCCCACATTCCATACCGAAGAACAGATTGTTTCCTTCACTTATATTTTTTCCTCAACAAATTTAACAAGATTGGATTAAAAGAAGAAAGTCTTAGCGTTCATGACAAGACAGATTTTTCAAGAATATAATGAACATTTAACTAATTCTAAACTAATTCTAAATTATGATGGCATTTGATAAGGAAATGGTTGCGAAGCCAAGTCAATACGTTATCAAAATAGCAGCACTATTGCCTGCAGTTATGAGAAAATAATCAGAAAGAAATTATTATTGCAATATAGTCGTCTGATCTGTCCTCCTGACATATCTTGTGGGGAAGGTCAAGCCTGATGTGATATAATAGAGAAAAAGGTTAGATGTTTTTTTAATGTCAACAATTTGGAATATTTAACCAGGGGGCTCCAAAATGCACAGCAAAGGGGGGAAAATAAAGTGCTGATACTGTACAGTATGGACAAAATATCCAAGTAATGGGAGGGGATAAAGAAAGAATCTACTGGAACAAGTATATACTGTGTGGGTGATCAATTATATCCACGCTAGTTAAAATATTTTCCAGGAACTATTCTAATCAGAATTCATAGGGCTCTTCCTCACTGCTGAATTAATATGCTCTCCAGCAGTTATTTAGTCAGCAAAACAATATGTCAGCACAATGTTGACTGCCCCCATTCAGATCCCCATTCTACCATAAAACAATGTCACCGGATTGCATTATCCTTATTTATTGTGTACCAGGTTAAGGCAAGGGACTGATGGATTCTCTTTCCTCCAGGTCGGTGGTGGATTCCTACCAGTTCGGCTGAACCGGTAGTGGTATGGCGACCTGGATCGCTGGAACCAGCAGCGACTCAGGCCTGCCACACCCCCAAACCAGTTCCCCGATCTCTTCTGCTGTCACCGTTTTCAGTCAACTGCGCATGTGCAACGTGCGGCACGTGCATGCAAAACATCCTCTCAGCGAACCAGTAGCAAACCGGTTAGGAACCCACCACTGCTCCAGGTGTTACCCGTGGGCCATCAATCACTCTAAGTGAGCAAAGTGAGTATAGACAGTAACTTAGACCAATGGGTTTTAACTCTTCTGTGCAACAAGGATTTGTTCTCCATTTACTGTCTGAGGGATCCATGCAAGACCTAAAAAGTCCTATGCAAAGCACCAATCAGGCATTATCAAGCAGATGTCTCTCAAGTCCAAGCCAAATTGGACACAGAGGACCAAACCCAGCAACCAGCCAGAAAGGAGTATAACTACAGCAATCTATAAAATAACAATAATAACTGGGGAAATCCTAAACCTTGACCACACCAGCAACCGAATGTCAGTGAAGGGTAACAAACTTTAGCCATTAAAATTATATCAGAACAAAAAACAAAATATAAAATTTAGACCTGAAAAAGGAAAGGATCCCTTTTAGAGACTGGAGCTGGGAAGGAGGCTGGCGGTGAAAAACTAACATGACAGGAAAAAAAAAACCATTACTGGGCCATGTTTATGCTTAAGCAGGAGCAAAAGAAGAAGAGACATTTCCAACTCATCTGATAAAATCCTACAGGTAAGATCGATTTAAGCTTGGAAATCATGCTAATTAGCAGCCTGTTTGGTCTTTCTTATTCTAGCTTTTAATCTCCTTTATCTCCAATTTGTGCTTTGCTCTTTACAATCCTAGCTTCAGATTAGGTCTATTCAAGTTTATAACTGGTTTATATAGGCTATTCATAAACTTTTTTGTGTGTAGTTTTGGAAGTGAACAATCCACCAAGGTGGCAAGAGGTGCGCCATCAAATCCAGTTTCTTAATATCAGTAGAAAATACAAATGGTGGGCACTCCTTTTTAGATTATCTCTCTCTTTGTTAAGAGCATAACAAAGACCATGTCAAAATTCTTCAGTAAAAGTATGAAAGACATTTGTAGAGGATTTGGCTGAATGTTTGAATTTCCTTCCAAGGCAGATTTGTCTCCAATACTTTCCCACAGCAAATCTACTATTGTCTCTTCAGAGGGAGATTCCTTATTCTCTGCAAGCCAAGAAAAAGGTCAGGCAGATGTCACTGACTCAGAAATACACTGTATGGCCTTCAAAAGTATAAAAATGTGATACGTATAGCTTGGATATTAAACATATCCTTGTTATATTGAAATTATTATGAGTTTTAAATTTGTAAACCAGCCTTAATTATGTCTAAGTGCACATTTTTCTTCCTAAATAGATTTACTGGCGTGATGGAACTACTTTTAAACTAAAGTAATGTAGATAACCATGCTCGAGAAACTGTAACTTTTCACTTCACAGATTTCAAATCCATCTTTTTCTATGAAATTATAGAAATATAAATAGATTACAAGAGTGATTACCGGCTGAATTCACACAATACACTTACATGTATTTCACCATATACTCTGCTTAGTTAACACAACTTCCTGGCTTCATACAGCACACTGAACTAACCATACAGAGTTTGCATTATACGCTAGGCTAAATTTTTGATGGTTTATATTGCAGTTCTATTAAGTCATGAAAAGGCAGGAACAGCTGAAAGCATGCCATATGCAAACTATATGATCAGGCAGATTGAGTGAATAATAAAAAGAATGTGACACTATACTAAAAGGGGAAAATTAGACAAAGACTTTGGAACAATTTGGAAGATATGGTGGAAGACAAGAAAGACAACACAATGCAAAACCACTTCATTATTTCCATACACTATTGGAGTAAATATGTCAAACTCAAACTCAGTATGTCAAACATAGAGAAATTTAATGAGCTTCCGAAATAGACCCCAGTAAACTGTAAACTATCAATAGCTCTTCTCTAACACTCACAACAAACCAATCAGTACACCAAGTCCTGTAGCACACTTCGATCATTACAGTTAGGAACTTACACAGATGGGGCAATGAAGGGCAGGCTAACAAACAGATCTACAAAGGAAAGCATGAGCCGTTATAGATATAAATGAATTGAATGGAAGCCATAGATAACAGAAAGATGGTGCATGACAGAATATATATCCTGCACATTTGTAATAAGATGTGATAAATAAATCATGGGCTGGAGATCCATTACCCTATGGATCCAATCCATTATCCACTAGAATAATGGCAACTTGAAGATTCAAAAGGAAATCGGATCCAATTGACCTTTTATAAATTGGTTTTTACAAGATCAACTGGATCCAAACTTTTTTGAAATCCAGAATTCCCCAAAATGGATAAGGACAAATTGCCCTAATAGCCTCATCCACATTCTTGGTTACAAGTGCTGGGGGATGGGAGAAATCCCCTAATATCCCGCTGGAGAAAGTCCTCCTTCAACGAAGCTCCGGCGGAGCCAAGGGAGGAGGCGCCGCCCTTACCCCGTTAGCTGCCGCCATCTGCACCACCACCTCGGTGGCCGTCCTGCTGAAGTACCTGCCGTCGCTGCCCACCACCATGGTGCAGCCCTGGCGGTCGCGCAGGTCGATGGAGGAGAGCAGGCTCTGGATGAAGTTGGGCAAGTAATTGCGCTGGCCCTCGAAGACCGCGGTGGGCCTCCTGAGCCCTCCGCCGCCCGTCGGCTTCTGGTCGTCGTACGGGACCGTTTGCACGGTCAGCACCGGGATCGGGCTCCCTTCCATGGCGCTCGGCTTCTAGCCTGCACAGGATCCCGGCGAGGAGCTTCTTTCGGTCGGCGCGGCGATGCCTCTTGCCTGGGGCGCTCCCGTTAGGAGAAGGATGAGGTCCCAGCGCCGCCCCGCCCTGCCCAGCCACTCCACCGCGCCTCTTTTCCCGCCTTAATCCTCGTTCTGCCTCGGCGTCCCTTGGCTATGCATGGTGCCGAAGGCAAGTTCGCTTCAGGAAAGCAAAGAGCAAGAGGTTTCTTCCCGCCCGGGGCGCTCGCAGCCGCTTTGCCCACGCTCTCCCTCTCTGCAGTGTCCTCCGGGACGAGCCAGCTGCCCTTTTCGAAGAAGGACACGAGGGGGCTGCCAAAGCCTCTTTTGCAGGCGGCAGCCTCGGCCAGTAATAACCCTGGTAAGCGAAGCTGAGGATTGTTGTTCGCTGCCAGAGATGTAACTAGAAGCTGGGGCGTCTCTCTCTCTCTCTCTCTCTCTCTCTCTCTCTGTGAAAGACATTTGTTCCAGAGGATCACATCCTGTCAGTCCTCCAG